AGTGATGTGTCAGACAGTGTTCCTCTGCTATTCATGAAGTTTTCCCTGGCCAATTCTTTGAAAAGTGGATGGCCTCTTCCTTCTTAGTCTCAGTCTGTAAGCTGTGTTGAAACCTGTGTACCATGTGCAACCTCCTGGTGTTTGAAATACTGGTGGCACAGCCTCAAGCCTCACAGCAACATACAAGCCACCACAGTAGGACAAACTGAGAGACAAGTTTGTCTCCCCTAGCTGTTTGAAACCTCTCCACCCTCCCCTTACCTGGATCCCATGGTTCTTCTCCCCTTCCTGCCTCTTAGGGTGGGGCCTATCTCCCCCCACTCTTACCTAGATCCCACCGCTCTGTCTTGTCCCTGGTTTTTCCCCCGCTTCCTACCTCTCGGGGTGGGGCCTTGTCTCCTTCCCCTTACCTGGATCCCGCTGGTCTCTGTCTTATCCCCACCTTTTCCCATTTTCTGCCTCTTGGGGTGGGGCCTTGAAGTTGTTAGAGACTTCATTTTAATTGGATCCCAGTCAACACCCATGAAGCAGCAGTCAAGAAATCAGAGGTTGTATTGCACTGGGCAAACCTGTTGCAAAACGTCTTTAAAGGGTTAAGGAGCAAAGATGTCACTTTGAAGGCTAAGGTGCACCTGGCCCAAGCCATGGTATTTTCAATAGCTTTATATATATGTGAAACCTAGACAATGAATAAGACCAAAGAAGAACTGATACCTTTGATTGTGGTGTTGGTGAAGACACCTTGGACTGCCAGAACAAACAAATGTCCTGGAAGGAGTGCAGCTGGAATCCTTAGGAGTGAGAAGAATGGCCAGATTTCATTTCACAAACTTTGATTATGTTGTCAGAAGGGACCCGTACCTGGACAAGGATATCATGCTTGGTAGAGGGTCAGAGAAAAAGGGGAAGACCCTCAATGAGATGCATCAACACAGTGGCTGCAATGATGGGTTCAAGCATAGCTAGGACTGTGAGGTTGTTGCATGACCGGACAGTGTTTTGTTTTGTTGTACTTAGGGTCACTATGGGCTGTAATTGACTGTATGGCACCTAACAACACTCAGCTCAACCTATTTTCCTAATCCTTTCCTATGGTCCTTGTAACCTACAGTGGTGTTGTTGTTATGTGCCGTCGAGTCGGCCCCGACTCATAGCGACCCCTCCTTGGGTTTCCGAGGCAGTATCACTACGGAAGTAGGATTGCCCAACCTTCCAAGGAGTGGCTGGTGGGTATGAACCACCAGCCTTCTGGTTAGCAGTCAAGTGCTTTAGCCACTATGCTACCAGAGCTCCTGTGTAACCCATAGTACACTGTTGAAATTCAGACACTCTGTTCTGCCATTCCATTGCCTTTTGAAGCCCAGTCTTTGCAGGCCCAGTTCTACACACACTTGTCACGGCACAAATACCACTTCCTACAGGAAATCTTCTCTGACAGCACCCTGCTAAATGCTTAAGAGTTCTTTACTCCACTGACATTTACTTATTGTTATATTCTTTTATTTTTTGTACTGAGGATAGGGATGGGATCTTACTTGGTGTTCTTACGTCTTCTATTAGTGATAAACGTGTGGAATTAATTTACATCTCCGGTAGGTGCTTTGAATTTATGTCAGTAATTTAAGAATGATGTTGAAGATTACATATATACATACACACACACATTTGATTCTCTATTACTTCATATATTAGTGTTTAACTATAGAAATCTCTTCCATTCAGATTCTGTCTCCAAGCTAAATTAGAAGAACCGTCTGACCTGTGCCATGTCCTTCAGGTTTCTTGCTATTACCAGAACCATCAAGCATAAGGCTGTGTGCACAGTAAATGCTTGCTGAATAAATTAATAAGAATAGCTGGGGCAGATGACAGCAGTTTAGCTGACAATGAGACTTCAGGCTTAGGCAATGGCAAAACAACTTCTGGAATAACTTAAGGTAAATTATTTACCTTCTCTAAGTTACAGCAGTTTAATTGTGCATAACTAAATTACCCCATCAAAATCCTTAGATCATTTTCAGAACTTGCCACCTTCTCAAGCTTTTAATATTAAAGATTTCTAAATCCACACTTGCTGTTTTCTAAGCCAATGATCTACTAGATTAAGTGAACATTTCAGTTGAACTTGGTGTACATACTTAGAACCATCACTATTTTAATTATAGAACTAATATGTCAATTATTAAATACACCAATAAAAATGGGAGCTTGGAATGGGAGCAGGGATCTAACATTTAGCTTTAAAAATTTTTTTTCCCTTGTAATCAGTAAAATACACAGACACACACATTTATATTCCAAAGGAAAAAAAAAATATATTTTCAGGAAAAAGCAAGGGAAATGAGAAAAAGGTGAAGAGCTAACCCATAAGGAAGTATGTTATTTCAACATGTTTTAACATTAAAAATGATACTGAATAGACACCCAAATGGCCTGTTGTTGTTAGGTGCTGTCGAGTAGGCTCCAACTCATAGTGACCCTAGGTATAATAGAACAAAACACTGCCCGGTCGTGTGCCAGCCCCACAATTCTTGCTATACCTGAGCCCATTGTAGCAGCCATTGTCAATCCATCTCATAGAGGGCCTTCCCCTTTTTCATGGTCCCTCCACTTTACCAATCATCATGTATTTCTCCAGGGAATAGTCCTTTCTGACAACATAACCAAAGTAGATGAGACGAAGTCTGGCCATTCTTGCTTCCAAGGAGCATTCCGGTCTTAATTCTACAGTAAATGTGGAAACGTGAGAACCCTTTTCCAGTAGCACTGTAGGGATGTTCCTTCCCTACGTGGCTGCCTTTATACATGAAATATAAACAATATGGCAAAGAACTGAGGAATCTGATTTTGTATTCTTTGGCTAAGATCCAAGAAATGCACACTGATCTACAAAACTGGAAGCGAAGGGATTTGGCTTTTTGCTTATATAAATCCATTGATTAAGTTTAATTTCCAGTTAAAAACCAGAGTGTTATTTTTTAAAAGTAACTCAGACTTTAAATACTGTAAGAAGGTATCTGGATTTCTCACTCATTATTTAACAAAATATTTAACACTGAAGACCTATTGTTTGTGCTGGGGTTATAATGATGAAGACACACAAGGTCTCTGCTTTCCAGCAGTGAAGATGGTAGGCATTATACAAATAACTGCAAATGGCTTATTTCAGTCGTCAAGGAGTGCTGTGAGGATCCTCTTCTGCTTTCTTCTCAATCTATGAGTAACTGCAATGGCAAGGTGCTGGCTGTGGTGGACAGGCAGGAAAGGCATTATGGAGTATGTAATGAGAACCTGTGATGAAACAGCACAACTCAAAGAAAAAAAACAACATCCGGAAAGGCTATGAAGTGTCTTGAACTTTCTAGGAACTAAAAGTAGAGCATAATGACCAAGTGAGAGAATAGGCTGAAATGTCACAATGATTTTTGACTTCACTTTTTAAAAGTTCACCAGATCACACAGAGCTTTTAAGGTTACATCAGGATGTGGGTTTTGGAGTTAGAAGAGATTAGTGGTTCATTAGTTTAGATCCTTTTCTGGGATTAGTTAGGTCACAGGTAATGCTGTATATTAGTATCTGGATGCAGTTTGCAGAATTCCTTTGAGACAAAAGATGAACAGTTTTAGGTTGTTTTGTTTTAAAAGCAGATTATGTGAATATATTTACTAACTAAGCATCACCTATGTACAATATAAGGAGCTCTGGTAGCATAGTGGCTAAGGCACTTGACTGCTAACCAGAAGGCAGGCGGTTCAAACCCACCAGCCACTCCTCGGAAGGAAGGTTGGGCAATCCTACTTCCGTAGTGATACTGCCTCGGAAACCCAAGGAGGGGTCGCTATGAGTCGGGGCCGACTCGACGGCAAACAACAACAACAACAACAATGTACAATATATTTTACCTATCACCTACTTCCCCCTGAAAGCCAGCATCTTTCTGAACTAAAGGGAAAGGGGGAGGGTGACATCACTGGGAAAGGTGCTGTCTTACGGAGTATAAATACAGGTTTTTGAGAACCTTTAGCAATTTTCTAGGAATGCCCTCATTGCCCTCTCCACTTGGTAACACATTTCAATGTAGTTTCAAAGTCTTTAGGCCTACTCTTCCTTACCACTGTCAACTGCAGACAGTAACTCTATGTGATGAGGTGTAACAGTATTTATAAACGGAACGTGGAAGGGTATATAACCAGTAGCTCAATTAAGATCATGGATATCCAGTCAATAAATATAGAAGCTGCCTTTTATTTAGAAAGAGGCATATTCTGAAAATACCAAAAAGTCAAACCCTGAGAATCAGCTGAACCATAAATTTTGCTTTACCATGGAATTTAAATAATACCTCTGTAATTAAACTTTAAAAAAAGCAATAGAAAATACTTCATAATCAATTGAAGGTGTCTATGTTCACTTTTCATTCTAAACTAACAAAACGAAATAAAACCACATTTTTAAACAGTGTAGAAAATCAGTCACCATGAACCAATGCCCCAGTTTTATAAAACAAAAACTAAGAAAACTGGGTCAAAGGTACACAGGACCTCTCTCTCTTATTATCTTTCCAACTTCCTATGAATCTAAAATTATTGAAAATGGAAAAGCTTTTAAGAAGTGTATCTGGGATATAGAAACAGAAACCAAATACACTTACCAGAAGAAAGATCACTTATGTTGGTTAAAATTTGGTGGAGGATGAAAAGAAAAAGGTTACCATTTTTTTATGGGGAAATTTTATGAGTAAGGTAGAACCATGGAAAAAAGAAAAAAAAAAAAAAATGCTTACATACTATACTGGCTCTGTCACCTACTAGCTGAGTGACCTGTGACGTATCTCTTAATTTCTCAAGAGCACTATGAGAATCAGATATGTGGAAGTAAAGTCTGAAATCTGTAATGCCCTAATCCAAATTTCCTGGCCTGAACTCTTTTTTGTAAAGGACTGTCTTCATTTATATAATGCATTTTATCAACAGGACAAGCATACACCTTAAAAATGCTATTCAAGCAAAGAAATACAGCAACTCAGTTTATTACATGCAGATTCTTCTGCATTGTTGCTAACAGTTCACTGGTCCAAAATTACTAAAATACTTAAAAAACTATACATTATGTAAACAAAACATAAATAAGACAGCATAGTTCTTTGTACATATAGCTTAGTACAGGATGTTAGGGACTTGGGAATATGTACAATTTTACACCATGGACTGCCATCTGCACAATGCATAAATATATATATATATATATATATATGTATGTATATTTTTACAGAAACAAAAATAAGATTTCACTAATGACACAGAATACCATAGTGTAGATACGCTGCAATAGTCCAAATTCAGGAAGAAATATTCAATGCAAGTGTGCAAAAGGCTAGCTTACTCTAAACTTGTCAAACTTGACTTTGTTCAATGTATGTTTTACAGGCAGGTAAATCTTGACTGTTTATAAAGCATCACTGGAAACATACTCATACCACTGAGTGAAATGGAACAGATTTTTCCCTCCCCAAGAAAACTAAACCTTGTTGCAAGCTAATGAGAACATGTATTTTAAAAAATGAGAGGCAAGACACACAACTACGTATAGTATGTTTCCAAAAGTATTATAATGAACAGTTAAAATTCTTCTGAGTGTCAAAACAATGCCCCATTATTTAAAAACTGGCTCATTTCATCTAAATTCAAGATGCAGCTGTGTCTGGCTTCCCCAAACCAGACGACTGAAACACAGGGAAGACAGAGGCAGGGTTTCGACTGGCAGATACAACAATTTGAGAGAGAGATGGAGAGAGGGAAGAAACCTTAGATGCTGGAGTATTTATGGTATTTAAAATGGCTCCTTCTGGACTGACCAACAATTTCTTAACAGATGTGTCCAAGTGAAATACTGAAGTGCTACTTGGCAGTGGAGGATTACTAGAGCAAACGGCAGAAACCAAAGAAGTTTTTGCCAGAAGAGTAGCTGGAGAAGACTTAATTACTGAAGTCAATGACACTCCTGGTGTTGGAAGTGGGACAGACACTTTAGCAGTTGTGTTCACTATTTGTGGTGTTGTATGTACCATGGGTAGAGAACTAGCATTCCCAAGAGAGTTTATAATTTTTGTAGAGCTTTTTAGAGGATGTTTTACAGATTGGCCACTTAAAGAATGACTTGATGCTAGTGTGACCTTCTGGGCAGGGTTATCTACTGGTGGAGGCACAATGCCTGGGCCAGTGTTCAGAACTAAGGGAGGTCCATATTTGGAATTAGTAGATATAAGAAGAACATGGCTGCCAGCTCCAAGACCTTGTGGTGGAACAATAAACCGGGTTCCATTAATCATGATCTGAGTACCTGGTGCCAAAGGTGTGCTGGTGTTGATGACAATTTTTTGCTGAATGCAAGGCTCACTGAACTGAGCCCCTGCCAGACTACTTATATTTGATGGTGCTGTCGCAGTGTGAGTGGCAGAGCCACTGGGAGCAGAATTGTAACTGGGGGTTGATTTTACTGAAGCAGGGGCCACTTGCTGGTTTGGCAGAGCAGCACAATTGGAAATATTAATTATTTTACCTGGACTTGGTAAGAGGGATGGCAGTTCACTTTGAGGTTTATTTGTGTTTGCATGTGCTGGCACTGTAGTTGAAATCCCTGGTGATTGGAACTGGACAGAAGTTTGAGATTGCCTTTTAGAAAGAGATCCAGCATGTGTGGCCCCTGGGACAGTTGCCAGATGTGGCACTGTGTTGATTATGGCAGGAGATGCGCTCACAGGTGTAGGCAAGGCAACAGTAACAGGGACTTGCAAAGCTGATGTTAAACATTGGGGAGACACTGTTGGTTGTGTAGTTGAAATCAGAACAGAGGATGCAAGATGTCCTGTTTTCACAGTTGATATAGCCACCGTGTTGCCAAGATTTGATGTGCAAAGTCTATTCGACAAAATGGGCATCATTCTTGAAGAGGTATCATTTCCACTGACCAAAACAGGAGGTTGTGTCCCAACAGAAGCACAGCTTGAGGTCACTGAAAGAGAACCCAAAGGTACATTTGGTCCTGTTACTGAACACATGCTTACTGCTCTTGCTGCAGCACCCACGGACTCACTGACAGGGGTGAGATTTTGACTCACAAGATTGGAGCTTACTGGAACTAAACTACCATTTGTTGACAATGGCAAAACATAGCTCTTGCTACTTTTTTCTTCTCCTTTTGGGGTGACATTTTGCAGTATGTTAATTGAGGATACAGCTGGCACACTGCCTGAAGTATTTACAATTGCTTGACCTATGTTTAATCCAATTTTCACATCTTTTATCTGAGACACTGTTGGTGATGGATTTATTTTTATGGGTGCTCCCATGGTAGAGGGAATCAACACTATTTGGGGTTGCTCTGGAGTTTTAACATACGTTTTACTCAACTGGGGAGGAAGAGTTTGCTTTAATGATTCTGCAACAATTGCTGGGGTTGAAGTGCCACTGGGAATTGGAGCATTAATAAAAACTACTTTCTGGGTAGAGACAGCTGTGGATGTCAGTGCAGGTGGCACAGTGATCGCGCTTCCGCTGCCTGGAGAAAGAATAGAGGGAGCTGACATCAGCATAAGCTTCTGAACTGGAACCCCACTGACCACATCTCCATTTGTTGCAGCTATTGCTTCAGAGCATGCAACAGAATCATTTTTGGGGGCATAATCTACCTGCTGCTGTTTAGTTGGAGTATGAATAACACTTGTGTTGGTTTGTCCACAGTTTCCTGTTGCTATGCTAATTACATTAACGGAACTATTTGTTGTTGATGGTAGTATAGGGCTAGAAGAAACAGAGAACTTCAAAGGAGAAGAGCACACAGGTGATGTTTTATCTATCAAGTGGCCCAAATTACCACTGCAAGAGGGCTGGCCTAATGTAAGTTTGAGGTTTTTCCCTATGGATGGATTAAAGCCAGTTGGAATGGAAACAGAAGTTGGTGTTTGGCCAAAGGGTGGGAGACAAGATGTAGTAGTTGTTCCAGATATTGGTGAGTAAGCAGAAGATGATGAAGTTGTTGATTTTGGCACCAGAAATGCCTGAAGCTGAGGAGCAAAAGTGAAAACTGGACTTGAAGATAAACTGCTGGGTGAGTTTTGATCTGGATTGGTCTGTACTTTTACAACTCCTGTGTTCCCACCTCGTGTCCTAACAAGAATTGACTGTGAATCTCTTATACACACAGTCTTCAGTTCCTGCTTTACTTCAGAAGAATCGGCAGCTTGTTGTGCAAAACAATTGAGGGAACTTCCAGGATTTGTAGATCCACTTAGTGTCATTGCTGGTAAGAGAGGCTGAACTGTTGAGGAAATGGTGGGTGAAGTGATGGGCTGAGGGAATGTGGCTGCTGAAACTGCATTCTTCGGTTTTCCTGCCTCACTCTGGCTAGTCTCAACTGTTGGTGGTAATAAACTACTTACAGAGGTGATAGGTGACAAAGGCTGTGGTCTAGCACTACTCACATTTGATAAAGGTGAAATCGTCTTGTTGAAAACTGTATTAGGTAGGTGAGTAGAAGCAGTTGCTGTTGAGTTGACAAGAACTGATGCTAAAGAAGAGTTTACATTTGCTTTCTGTGGGAGAGATGAATAAAGCTGTTCTGTGCCCTTCTGTTGAAGTGGGGGTATTTCTTTAGCAACTGCTTTTCCTTCCTTGTGATGAATCACAAAATTCTTGGGCAGAATGAGAACCTGTTGCATGATTTTTTCTCCTGTTTTAGGATCCAACACAGGCTGCATCTGAATCTTTACAGAGCTATTATGGAGATCTACTGGCAACCACTGGCCACAGGGCATCTTATATACCATCTGCAAAGGGCCTTTAGTACTGGGATGGCAGGTCAGCGCTGGCTTCATGGGGCTTGCTTCTGGAGGAGATAGCACTGGCTTTTCCATGGCAGAAACATTTCTACCTGTGGAAGGAGGCAGCTGGTTTGTTAAGGTCACTTTGTTCCCAATATTCTTTGCAAGCAAGGCCTGAATAGGTTTGGTCCTTTTCTGGAGAGTAGACACTGGTGTTGAATCCACTGAGGCAAATGACTCTGGAAATGGTGGCTCTGTTTGGATCGATTCACTCAAACAATCAATCTGTGCATCACCTTCTAGGTGCACAACTGCCATCTCATTTGTGCTTAGTTTTGCTTTCTTCTTTGGGGAAAGCTCTTTTGTGCTATCATCCAGATAACTAGTTTGTTTGGATGGTCGTTTCAGTGTTTTAGGCAGTGTCTTCAGTACATCTTTAGAAGGCAATTCCTTTTTCAATAGCTTGCTTCTCCCCATAGGAAAATCTATTTCTGACAATTTCACATCATCTGAAAATTATGAAAATAAACATTTTGGTTATACAAACAGCAGTAGTAAGACCAATCAATTGTTTTTTAAAAAATAAGTCAATCTTTGAACTAGCAATTTATTAAATCTACCCTTCAGCAATTCTAAAGTCTCAGCAATACTAATGGAAATACAAGTAAGGTGACTTTTGACATGGTAATCTTGGTATCGTAACTATCCTGTTATTAATGAGAAATCTGTTTTTGGTCCTATCCTGTGAATTCTGTTGTTAATATAAGTGCAAAAGGAAATTTCACATCTTTTAAAGAAATAATCAGGCCAGCAACTAGGGCTCAGAATTTAGATGTAGAAAGGAATCCAGTCTATTTTTTTCCCCTAGAGAGGAAAACGATGACACCGAAGACACATTCCAATTTTAGAGGATTAAAGAACTAAAATGTCATCTTTTTCTGGCTTTTAGTTATCTTTACAATACAAAAATGTATATTCATATCTGGTCAAACAGGATTAATGAGAAGTTATTTTTTTCCTCAACTCACCAAAAACATGGAAAACAATAGGTTAATATACTTCTAACCACAAACTTTAATATTAAAACTTTATATAACTAAGAAGTTATTAAATTTATAGACTAATATAATTGAAATGAATTACAAGTCGATCCAACCTATTATTCTTATTAGAACAATGTGTCCACTCTTCACTTGTTAGGCCACCAATCTCAGTCATTCCCCTTAAAAAACAAAAACAAAACCCACAAACTTCACTGTGTTAGGGACTGGTCAACTTTCATTTAAAGCAAACTTCAGAAGTAGTGTTCAAAACTAGAATAAGAAGGGAATTGGTAACTTCAGGGGATTACAGATCAAGGATGTGAAGTTTGTGGTGCTCCAGAAACAACTTGAAAAAGTTATAATGACTCCCAAGAAACACCTTGTAAAGATGCAATACTCCTTCAGACATTTTTACCTATACACCTACTTCTAACTTACTATTTCATTGTCTGACATTTCTTTCACATTTATGACAATGATAAAAAGTGTACTATCCAATTATTTTGTGCATTAATCACGTACACTGGGCAGTAACAACCACCAAGGTACAAGGCAAGAGTAATGCTGGCTGTGATGGTTAAGGTTATGTGTAAAGTTGGTTGTAGTTAGGCAGTTACACAATGATGTAATTTGGCAGTTACATAATGATGTAGTCATCCTCCATTTTCATATAATGCCAATTTCAAAACGTATTTCCCCAATCAATACACTTTGTTCACTAGATTATCCTTTACCTCCAAAAAACAAACTAAAACTTTTCTTTGTGCTTTTAACATTGACTAAAACTATTGTAATGCATACCTGAATCAAAATGATCTTTCTCCAAAATATCTAGAAGTTCTGTTGAGTGCACACACTTGCTGACTTCTACTTGAGAAGAGTCTTTTCCAGGGTCTCCTTCACCTTCTTCACTAGTCCACAGTTCTCTGGTAAATTTACCATGATCAGGATGTCTTCTGAAATCATCATAGTCTTTCTTTAGGCGGCTCCTGAAATAAAATGCCCAACACAACAAACAATATATATGTATTAAACTCCTCAAAGCTAACCTAACTTTCAACATTTTTACTATACACCTACTTCTCACTTATTAACTATCTTATTATTTAACATTTCTTTCACATTTATGACAATGGTAAAAAATGTACTATCCGATTATTTTGTGCATTAACAACGTACAGTAACAAGTGCCAAAGTACAAGGCAAGAGTAATGCTGGCTGTGATGGTTAAGGCTATGTGTCAAGTTGGTTGTAGTTAGGCAGTCACGCAATGATGTAATATGGCAGTTATGTAATGATGTAGTCATCCTCCATTTTCATATAATGCCAATTTTCACATAATGACCTGGTGTTTGGAACCAAATCATGTCAATTAGGTGAGGGGTAGGTGTATAAAATATTTCCAGAATAAAATCACTAAAACTACAGTTTAATTTCAAATATGCCTAACATGCTTAGTTCAATCTTACCAATAGCAGATTAATTTTTCAAAAAGACAAAATCCAGGGTGTAGACATACATAACTTTAAAGATTGAAATTTCAGAATAAAGTGCGGCTATCTAAACCACCTACTTGTCCTTCTAAAGGCTGTTGTTAGACTAATAAAATGAAAGAAAGGTGGTATTTTTCGCAGCTGCACTGACAGAAAAATTCTAAGATGTTCTTAAAATTATGTATACAGTTTTTTAAAAATATGAAAATCAATCAAATTGTAAGCTATATTATCTATTATTTTTTTTTACCATTATGCAGATAATAATAAATGAACAAACCAATTCATCATTTAATCCTGAGAGTAATGATGGGTAAACTATTGCATCTCACTGGAAATTTTTTTTTTCCAAATTTGAAGTTATTTACTATTTACTTTCAATTATTCCTATCAATATTTTGAAACTTTTATTTATTTTGTTGTTGTTGATAATACAAACAGCAAAACATATACCAATTCAAAAGTTTCTAACATGTACAATTCACTGACACAGATTACATTCGAGTTGTGCAACATTTTCACCTTCCTTTTCTGAGTTGTTCCTCCTGCATTAACATAAACTCATAGCACCCTATGGTTCCTAATTTTTTTGAGTTGTTGTTGTCATTTTGATCCCACATAGATAAGTTATTAAAAGATCTTAATGCTCAAGGCAGACTGTTTTTTACTAGTTAAGCTAAACTATTTTGTTTTAAGACTTTCCAAGATATTTTTGGTTTAAGATTTAAAGGTTATCTCAGGGCTATAGTGTCAAGGTTTCATCCACCCTTCAGGGCTCCAGAAAGTCTGGTGTCCACAAATGAATTTGAAATTCTGTTGTGCATTTCCCCCCTTATGATCAGGATTCTTCTTTAGAATCTTTGATCAAAATATTCGATAATGGTAGCTGGGCACCATCCAGTTATTCTAGTCTCATGCAAAGGAGGCATTCATTCATGGAGGCAATTAGCCACAAATTCTATACCCTCCTACTATTCTTGATTCTTTTTTTTTTTCCGTACAGTAAAAGAAGGACCATTTTATTATGTTCATGGATTCTATGTTCAGACAGAACAACAGGGACAGCTTATGTCTGCTCCATCATGTCCACATTTTCAACTAGCACACTTAAAAGGTTGTAGGTGATTGACAGCTGGGGATGTGGAATCATCAGAAGACTTCATTCCTCATATGTCTGGTGCCTGGGCAGGAATGACTTAAAGCCTGGGCTCAGCAGGGACTACTGAACCGTGGTTATCTACTTATTGTCTGTCCAAGTGGCTTGGGCTTCTTCACAGCATGGCTGCCTCAGGACATTAGGACTTTTCATGTGGTGGCTAAGGATTCAAAATAAGCATTCCAACAGACACTGTTTTTTATATCCCAGCCTCACTTCTGATGTGTAAGATCAGAACAAGCATATTAAAGAAACATATACTACTAAAATAGTAATAAAAGCTTTTTAACTGCCCTCCTATATGGACCTAGGAGCTCTGGTAGCTTAGCGCCTAAGGCACTTGACTGCTAACCAGAAGGCTGGTGGTTCAAACCCACCAGCCACTCCTCGGAAGGAAGACAGGGCAATCTACTTCCGTAGTGATAACTGCCTTGGAAACCCAAGGAGGGGTCGCTGTGAGTTGGGTCCAACTCGACGGCACATAACAACAACAACATATGGACCTGGAGAAGCAACACTGGGCAATCTACTTCCATAAAGATTTACCACCTTGGAAACCCAAAGGGGTCGCTATGAGTTGGAATTGACTCAATAGCAGTGGGTTTGGGCTTTTTTTAAAATATGGACCTGGGGTTCCGACATTGGTGGTCTGTGTGCCATATACTGGAAAACACTTTAAGCCTAATACAAGCCAGGAGGAAGGAGCTGTGGAATCTTCTTCCTTTTTTTATTTTTTACTTTGCTTTTAATGCATTTTATTGAAATATAATTTATGTACAGTGAAATACACAAAACTTAAGTGACATGGGTCAATGCATTTTTTTTTTTTTTTTTTTGGCAGTGTTCCCTCCCCTCCTACCCCTGGCAACCAACAAAGAAAGTTTCCCTCCATATATAAACCTTTCCTTGACCCTCCACAACAACAAACTAATACTATATTTGTCCTTCTGTGATTGACTTACTTTACTCAGCATTAATGTCCTCCAAGTTCATCCATATCATGTGGTGTTTTGCAGACTCTACATTATTCTTTAGTGCTGCATAGCATTCCAGTATGTGTATGTACCATAGTTTGGTCATCCATTCTTCCGCTAATGGGCACGTAGGTTGTTTCCATCTTTTTGCTATTGTAAACAGTGCTATGATGATCATGAGTGTGCATGTATCTGTTCCTATCCTGGCTCCCACCTCTCTAGGATATATATCTACTAATGGGATTGCTGGGTCAAATGGCATCTCCAATTCCAACTTTCTAAGGAATCACTGTATTGCTTTCCACAGTGGTTGTGTCACTTCACAGTCACACAAGCAGTGTATGACAGTCCCAATCTCTCCAAATCCCCACCAGCACTTGTTATTATTTTCTGTCTCACTGAACCTTGCCATCAAGGCTCTTGATCTCACCCCTTGCTGGGGTGAGATGGTATATCTCATTGTTGTTTTGATTTACATCTCTCTGATGGCCAATGATTGTGAACATCTTTTCATGTTATTAGCTGATCACCTGAATATCGTCCTTGGTGAAGTGTCTATTCATATCTTCTGCCCATTTTTCAACTGGATTGTTAATTCCTTTGGTGTTGAGGTTTTGGAGTTTTCCATCAATCTTAGAGATAAGTCCCATGCCAGGTATGTAATTATCAGCAAATATGAATTTGTTGCTGTCATTTTTGTCATGTGCTTTTTCATTGTGTCGATTTCTTTGTTCCATGTAATTTTCTATGCTGAGCTCGTTTTGTTTACGAATCCATGTTATCACTTCCTTCATTGCTATTGTTTTAGTATTTGCTGAATATTTATGATGGTCCTCTTTTTTATTTTGATGTGAAGGTCTATCATTTTTCTTTGAGGTTACCCTATGATTTATACTTTTCTTACCAAGTTTAAAACAGTCCGTTCTATCTTGTAGTTGTCTTGACTTCCCTACCATCTAGAAGTTCTGTGACGACACAGTTTTTTCCCTCTTTTTGGTTTACAGTTGTTCTCATTTGTCAATTCATGTCTCTGGTTCCCTGTTTACAATCTTGTAGGCTTAGTTACTTTGGACACTTCCATAGCTGGGTTAGTTTTTGGGTTATATCATCATGTGTGTTAATGGTTCAGTTGTCACTGGCTGTTGTTGCTTCTCCCTTTAGCATCTCTTGTAAGGTTGGTCTGGTTTTAACAAATTCCCTTCTTTTTTGCTTATCTGGAAATGTCCTAATTTCACCATCATATTTGAGAGACAATTTTGCTGGGTAATTCTTGGCTGGAAATTTTTCACTTTCAGTGTTTTATACATACCATCTCACTGTCTTCTCACCTGCATGGTTTCTGTTGAGAAATCCAAGCTCAGTCTTATTGGTTGCCCCTTGTAGGTAACTTTTCATTTTTTTCCCATGTTGCTCTCATGATTCTTTCTTTGTCTTTGGTTTTGGTGAGTTCGATGATGGTATTTCTTGGTGATTTTCTTTTGGGGTCTCTCTTGTTCGGGGTTCGTTGGACTTCCTGAATGGATATATTCTCATCTTTCATCATATCAGGGAAGTTCTCCTCCAACAAATCTTGGCCAATTTTCTCAGTGGTTTCATTTTTCTCTTCCTGTTCTGGAATTCCAATGACACGTAGGTTATTCCTTTTGATGGTAAAGGTTAAGGATAAAGTATGCAAACCTTAGGCTTTTGATCTTTTTTCTGATTGATCCCTTTCCAAAGAAATATTCAGGTATTTGTCTTCAATCTCATTAATTCTGTCTTCCATTGCATCAATTCTACTCCTTTGCCCATCCAATGTGTTATCTATTTCTGACAATTTAGTATTGATATTCTGGATTTTTATCTGTAGATTTTGAATCATTTCTAATTTTTCATTTATTTTGTCATTGTGTTCTTGTGTTTTCTTCCAAATTTCTTTTAAGGTTTTGTCTGTGTTTTCCTTGATCTGTCTTTCAATCCTTTGAAGATACTTAAGTATAATTCTTTTGAATTCCTTATCAGGGAGTTCCAGTGCTGCATCTTCCTCAGGGATGTGTTTTGGATCTGTATCCTGGTTCCTTGTTTCTCCTGCTTTATCTTGCTTCTTTGTGGGGACTATGATGCTCTGTTGTCTCCGAGGCATTGTGATGTTTTTGTGTTTATATTTAATTGGTGATTATATGTCAGAGTCACTTGACCACAATTTTCGTTTTCTTTGTTTTGTTTGTATGTTATCTATACAGGCAGGGTACTGTGTTGTGCTCCTCTATTCACTAGTTGACAGCACTTACATACTCACCACCTGTCTCCTTTCCTTTGTCAGTCTCTCGTACGTCCTTGCCGACCCTAGCAAACAGACCCTGTTCTTAGGTGCCTGGAATCCGAAT